TAGTATGTCCCATTCTTTTGCAATGAGAGCACTGAGGACGTCCTTTCCCACCACGTCCTCTAGAGCTGTGATTACCTCTTCCACGAGCAGAAACCATGGCGGAAGAATCAGCAAGTTCCTGACTGTTTTTGCTTTTGATAGAAGGAACACGAAGTAGCCTTGTGATTAAACTCTCCGTAGAAGGAACTTCTTCTCCAGTTAGAATCTGGTCTCTAACATGATTAAACTCTGGATTCATAGCCCTAAGAATCATTACCATATAGAATTTATCCAGCTTCGTCTTTCTTTCTTCTAATGATTCTGCCTCCAGGAACATTTTTAATTCTTCAACAGCTGACTGAGCTTCAGCAACAAAGGACATCATGGAATTATCCTCTTGCTTAAGGGAGGCAAGTCTATTAGCAGAATCATAAAGTCGTTGAATATCATTAGCAAAAATATTTTGGGCCTTTTTCCAAAAAGAATTACATGTCTTAAAGGCTCGAAGAGTGCTCAAAATATGTGGTTCAACAGATTGCCATAATAGTGCACAAAGTTGATAATCCAATTTCTTCCATTGAGGAGCCTGATCTGCTGGTATAGTACTCCCATCTTCTTCTAGATGATCATGAACTCCTTGACCTAGAAACCAGAGCTCAACAGAGGAAGCCCAAGACAAATAATTTTTTCCATTTAATTTTTCTGTGGTTATAGTCGGAGTCCCAGAAAAAGATACAGACACAGTTCCTGACATTTTCCAGGAAACAAGAGAGGACCAGCGTGTTGTTAGAGTGCTGTCAGAGACAGGACCGAGAGAGGCAGAGAGAAAAACACAGACCCACCACGTTTTGTGACCGAGAACACAAAACAAAGTGCAGATCTGGCACCAGGACGACGAGGCGAGCCGGATAGAGGTGGCCTGGAGCAAAACGGCCACCGAGAGGACGGCGCGTGAGGCCCACGCGCGGAGGAAGCCGCGGACAAGGGTGGCGCGTGGAGGCGCGTGAGGCAGAGATAGAGGAAGCGAACACTGGGGTTGGGTCGCACTCCTCGAGGCGAGCCAAACCCAAGTGTCAGAGAGGAAAACGGCGCCGGAGAAGACAGCACCGGCGGCGGACGGCGGCGGACGGCGGCGAACGGCGATTAATGCCAGAAAAATAACAGAGACAGGCAGAGCGGGATGAACCCGCTCTGATACCAACTTGAAATAGAAAAAGAAAATAAAGAACTGATTTTGAGAGCCTGAAATCATCTTCTTGTGTTCTCTTATTTATAGGAGATAAAAATACAGATTCAGAGATACAATAAATAGAGAGACATGATTAATCCTAGAGAAGATAAACAGATGCATTCTAGGAACTAGGTCTACAACTAATCTCATAAATGTCCAACAAGATACACTTAATCTAATAAATACTTCAACAATTTTTATGTTACACGTATGTGAGGGGGAGAGGGGATTGTTGCAGTCCCTGTCAACAAGGGCTGAACAGCTAGTGGTGCCACAGGAAATTATGCAACTGTTGGAAGAGTATGATGTGTTTTCAGGAACCTGCTCAACTACCTCCTTTTTAGACTAGGCATTATCATAAAATACCCCTGATTCAAGGTGCGAATCGAGCAAACAAGAGGCCTTACAGATATGCTAAAACTCAGAAAGATGTAATTGATAAGCTAGTGCAAGAATATTTGAAGACTGGAATAATACAGAATAGTTGCAACCTTTATGCAAGCCCTGTGGTGTTAGTAGGAAAGAAGGATGGACCTTGGAGGTTGTGTATAGACTATAGAGAACTAAACCAAGGCACGGAAAGAAATAAATTTCCTATTCCATTAGTAGAAGATTTAATGGATGAATTATATGGATCTTCTCTATTTTCTAAAATTGATTCGAGAGCTGGTTATAATCAAGTGTGAACAAGCCCGGAAGATGTGCATAAGACGCTTCTAGGACTCATGGAGGACACTATGAGTATGTGGTTGTGTCATTTGGATTGACTAATGCTACAACAACCTTTTAAGGCCTTGAGTATAGTTTTCCAGCCATTTCTAAGGAATTTTTTTAATTTTTATTTTTATTTTTATTTTTTTTAATGATATATTGGTTTATAGTGGCAGTTTACTAGATCAATCTCAGTCACCTCAAACAAGTGTTGATGACCTTGAGGAATAATTACCTTTTTGCAAAAAATTCCAAATGTTTCTTTGTTCTCCCTAGAGTGGAATACTTGGGTCCTTTTATTTCCGAAGAAGGGGTGTCTACTGACCCTAGCAAAATTGAGTTAATGAGATATTGGCCTTTGCCACAAACTATAAAATAGTTGAGAGGGTTTATGGGGTTAGTTGGTTATTATAGAAGATTTGTTAAAGAGTTTGGTGTGGTAGCAAAACCTCTAACTGATATGCTCAAGAAGGACAATTTTGTTTGGAAGCCGGAAGCTAAGTTAGCTTTTCAACGGTTAAAAGGATTGTTGTGTAAGACCCCTATACTGACTTCACCAGATTTTTCTGAAGAGTTTGTTATAGAAGTAGATGCACCAGGATACGGCTTTGGAGCAGTCCTCATGCAGAACCATCACCCAATCGCCTATATCAGCAAAATATTAAATCAACAGCAACAAGCTCTTTCCACTTATGAAAAGGATCTTTTGGCTGTGGTGTTTGTTGTGCAAAAGTGGAGCCATTATTTGATCAAGAAGCATTTTGTGGTAAAGACTGGCCATTATGGTATTAAATATTTGCTTGACCAGAACATAAATACTGTGTGCCAGCAGAAGTGGTTAGTCAAATTATAGAGTTTGATATTTCAATTGAGTATAAATAAGGACAGGATAATGTGGTAGCAAATGCACTTTCTAGGGTGGGACAAGTTGAATGTCAAATGTTACTTACTCATCAATTGCAATCTAATGTGAGGGAAAAAATTATAGCTTCTTGGACTGGTAATCATAATATCCAAAAGCTGATACAAGAACTGCAAATAGGAGTTGTTATTCATAAGCATTATAGCTGGCAGTAGGGGGAATTAAGAAGGAAAGGAAGGTTGGTGGTGGATAATGATGTTGGGCTGCGACTGGAATTTTTGCAGTGGTTTCTTAGTTCAGCAATAGGGGGCGTTTGAGAGATAATGCTACCATGCAAAAACTTAAAACTGTAGTGCATTGGAAGGGTATTTCTAGAGATGTGAAGAAATTTGTGGCAATGTGTCCTATTTGCCAAAAGTGCAAGCATGAAAATGTGACTTCTATGGAGTTGCTTCAACCTCTTCCCATTCTAGATCAAATATGACAACATATCAACATTGACTTTGTAGAAGGCCTACCAACTTCATTTGAAAAGGTCATAATGGTGGTGGTAGACAGGTTGAGCAATGCTGCCCTTTTTATGGCTGTCTCATCCCTATTCTACAAGTGTGGTGGTGCAGGTCTTTATGGTCCATGTGTTCAAATTGCATGGATTTCCTAGTTCTATAACTAGTGATAAATACCCAGCAATAGAGACCCTACAAGGAATACAAGTGCAATTGTCATACAACTATCACCCACAAACGGATGACCAAAGTGATATTGTGAATAAATGTTTGGAAATTTACTGAAATTGTATATGCATTGACTCACCACAACAATGGAGTAAATGACTGCCCTTGGCGGAATGGTGGTATAATAACAATTATCACACGACAATCAAAGTTGCACCTTCTGAGATTATGTATGGCCAAACCCCTCTTGCATATCTTCCTTATTTTGTGAGTGAATCCAAGAATGAATTGATAGATAAATGTCTTGCAAGAAGAGAGGAAAAGTTAAAATTGCTGAAATTCCATACGAAGAGAGTACAAGACCGAATGAAACAATTGGTAGATAAAAGTAGAACCGATTGGCAATATCATACTGGCGAATGGGTGTACGTTAAATTGCATGCCTATAAACAAATTTCAATTGCATATAGAAGTAATGCTAAGCTGAGTCCTAATCTTTTTTGGGCCTTACAAAATTGTGAACAAAATTGGAGAAGTAGCTTATAAATTAGGGTTACCAACACATTCCAAAATACATAATGTATTTTATGTGTCTCAACATAAAAAACATGTGGGAGAAGTGGTCATTTCTACTGAGTTGCCTTATCAAGCAGAGGATGCCTTTCGTGAAAAAGAACCAGAGGTCATTCTGGACAGAATGACAGTAAAGAGGAAGGGAGCAACAATGACTAAGGTGTTGGTGCAATGGAAGCATAGTATACCTGAAGATTCTACCTGGGATTTCTACTAAAATTTGAAGAAAAAAATCCTAGCATTTCATTCTTGAGGACAAGGATGATTGTAAGAGGGAGGCATTGTTATAAGTAAATTACAGTAGTTAATAATTGTGTAATTAGAAGTAGTAAGTGCTGAGTTGGTAGCCTTAACAAATTGTTAGTTGAGCAGAGACATTAAAAGCTGGTAGTTACGCTTTAAATAGGAAAGTGTAAATATGAAATGATTTTGTCAATTCTTGATCAATTCTTTTTCATGTTCTTTTGTATTCACAAGATTGAATAGAATTCCTTTGGGTTTTCATCATTATGGAAATCCCTATTCTTCCTAATCTTTGAAGTAAGTTTCCAGTTTCCTATAATTAGTTTTTACCTCAACACATGTTAGGGATATAATATAAATCTATTCATATTTCTCAACTTAAAGTATAAGCTTTTTAGATAGCTTATTCATGACAAATTAGATAATTTGCCTTATGCTTCTTCTTTTGAAATATAAAAGCTGTGAAATTGGGTAACTCCAACTAACTGGAATTTTAAATTATTTCAAATTGTTAATAATCCGAGCATATGAAGGAATTTTATACGCTTTGGAATTTCTTGGAATAATTTTAACGCTCTGTTGCCTACTTCCATTGTTTGGTTCAGGATTTTACCATTCTGCCGTAGTGAACACACATGACGTGTGTGAAGAAACCTTATGGGAGTTGGCAAAAAGAAGCTACACCTCCTTCGAAAATGCTATGAACTGCAACAAGCATTTCTCAGACATGTCTGATCTGAACTACCTCATGTGCAAGGCTATTGACAACCCCGGTTTGACACCCTCATCGTCTCTTAGAACTGCCTTGATCTCTGTGTTCGAAGATCCTGTCTTTGATGACTCGGCTGAAATGCACAAAGAGATTGGATTGGAAGACTATGTGGGTTGTGCTTCTGCTCATGGTGTTGGCCCATCCATAGCCATATTTGATACCATACGGAATGGAAAGTTGGATTGTGCTTGTATATATCCATCACCCCTTCATTCAAGAGAGCAAATTCAGGGACTAGTCAATCATATGAAGAGAATACTTGTGGAAGGGTGTACTGGTGAAAATCAACAAATTGAACCAAGAGCCTAATATGAGGCTAACCAAGTAGGTATAATTAATTTCATGATTAAATTCATAAATTTCGGTGCTATTGGATAAATTATGTGTCTAAGATTCAATTATCATGTAGAAGATTATGGTTTTATTGTAAAGTAATTTTTTATTATTATATTATATTTTATTTAATATAATAGTGATTTTGGTAAAGTCTTTTATTATAATAGAGATTTTGATAATCAGAAATAAACCTTTTATAATTATAATCTAAATCCTTCTTAACTATATAATTATTATAAATAGGATATTAATAATTCAGACATATTAATATATATGTGATGGTATTTATTAGATGAATATTAATAGAACTTATTTATTAGTTTACATATATAATGATATACAATGGAATATGAAGTAACTTAAATGAGATTTTCTAATGGATAATATTATCTTAATTTTTAATAGAATTTTTTTTTCTAATTTATTAGTTTAAGAATTTTTTTTTACTCGAAAATGTAATGTTAATTGATAGGTGTAGTATTAGTTGAGTGAATATTGAATATAATTGAATATTTATGATATTCTTGATTATTTAAGAAGGATCTCTTCACTCTTATTCATAAGTTTGAATTCTATAAAGAATTAAAGCCTTGATCATATTTAAATTGAACGATGAAAGAAATATGTTTTCCTTATATCATTTATAATAAATTAATTTATTAGAGTTTGACATTTGTATCTTGCTCTAGAATTAATTTAAAACTTACAGGATGAAAAAAATATTTTATATTTTTTCCAATTAGTTCTTAAAGGTAAAATATGTATTACTTCATTATATTTAGATATTAAGGAGTATTATTAGAAGTTTATCTTGATTAATGTATTATTTAATTAATATATTATCAATTTAGATATTAAGGAGTATTATTAGATGTTTATCTTGATTAATGTATTATTTAATTAATATATTATCAATTTAGTATTGAATCTAGAGAGTTATACACAAGTGAGTGTTATAACCTTTGTTAAAGAAATTAATTTTAATATTTGATTATTAAATTAAAGAATTTAATGTGATCAAATAAAAAATATATTTATATGTAATATTATTATATTATCTAGTATCGAAAATCAAAATATCTAGAAATTTTAAATGAGAGAAAATATTTATTAATATTTGATCGGAATCACTAAATGAGATTTGATTGAAATTATTCAATCATATTTAAATTGATTCAAATCATTAAATTTGATTTGATTGAAATAATTAAATATGACTTGTTCTTTTATAACAGTAACAAAATTTGTTATTTGATTGATGCTATTAAATTAATAATACTAATAATAATTGATTTTATTAACTTAACATTACTTAGTTATAACAATTTTAATATTGCTCAGCTAGTAGTAATTAAAAATTTAGAAAAGTAAAGCTAATTCAAATTCATATTCTAATACAATTGATTTTCAATAAATTAATTCTTATTAAACCTACAATAAAGATTAAAAAATACAAATAATAAAAGAGAAAAATAAAGATCTAACATAATACCATTAAAATAAATAAATATGAATGGGATGTAAAATATGTAAAGATAATATGTCAATAAAAATACGCCTAATATTACTATGTGACAAAGATGAGTTTTTTAGCATGCAACTAACCATTATCATATCAAAATAAATTAAATAGCAAAGAAATAAATTAAATAATGACACAAATTGCAAACAAAATAAAAGGCTTAAAATAATCATTATAAAATAGGTTGATTTCATTTTTATTTTTTTCAAAATAGTATTCATCATTGGTTTTCTAAAGATTATTGTTCAATTGATTATTGTCTTATATTTTTAAATTAATTAATATAACTTTTCAATTAATTTGTTAAGCATCCTCACAATTAATCAAATTAACTTCTCAATTAAAGATAATAACTTTTTAGATTAATCATAACAAATTTAATCAAAATAGCTTCTCAATTAAATATTACTATGCTTAATCATATTTATTCTTATTCCTCTTTTATCAAGTAAAAAATTAATTAACCAAAATAACTTCTTGATTAATTCTAATTAAAGTTTCCACCTTTAATCAAAGTAACTTCTCAATTATTTGTGAAAACTTATTCAATCACATGAAAGTTTCTAAAATTAATAAAAGTGACTTCTCAATTAAAAGTAAAAACACTTTTTGACTCATGATTAATATGTATTATAGATTTTACACCGTGCTAACTTGCTACAATGTAAAAATTATTATTTTTACTTGATTAAGAGATAAAAGACAAATAATAATGATTCACAAAATAATCAAAAGAACAAATAATTTATTTCACTCTAACCTCATAAACCATTTAAGAAATTATAATAGAAATAACCTTAGAGGCTTAGCACTCCATAAATGGGGTGGTACTCATCATAGATGAATGGTAAAGTGAGAAAATGGAAGAAAAGGTGAAAAAGGGAGTGGAAAGAAGGAAACTGTGTGATGGATGGTTGTTGCACGAAATAAGGATTGCCAAGCTCTCACTTTGTGCCACCACTAGGTCCTTATATAAGATGCTAAAGTGTATTCCAAAAGCGGTTGTGCTGTATTGATCATGATATGCTAATAAATACATAAATTACGAAATAGGAAAATGAATCCTAAGCCAAAATTATGCTAATTAATATATAGCTAGTATCCTGATTTTGTCTACTGACAGATATCTAATTACTATACATTGTTGTCATGCCAAAACAAATATGGAAGTTAAAATGATGGCACGATACTGTAATTAATAATCATATATTCTATTTTATTCTCATCACCCCACCTCAAGATGGAATATGGAGATTATGAATGCCCAGCTTGCCCAAAAGTGAACAAAATCGAGTGACGCCAAGATTTGGTGAGGACGTCTGCATGTTGATGGTGGGTGGACGGACACATAGGCAGATCGAATACAATTATGTTGAATTTTATCGCGAATAAGATAACAGTCTACTTCAATATGTTTTGTATGAAAAATAGAATTCTTGGTAATGTGAAGGATAACTTGGTTATCACAATTGAGATTTATGGGCTCGAAGTCCTATTGACCATACTTTTGATGAACATTCGGTCTTGAAACATAAATAATAATAATCATGTAATTAAATGTTCAATATAAACATGTAATTAAACATATTATAATAATAATAATCAAAATATAAATAAAATTAGTTCCTAAAACACATTTCCTAATACCTCGTGTTATTTGATTAAAACTTCAAGTCTTGAAATTACATTAATTAGTTCCTAAATTTTAGAAAGCGTATATTATAAAGTTAATTTTCATTTTTTTAAACACTAATTTTCAAAATTAATAGTAATAAATTTTTAGTAATTAATAAATTAGTAATATAAATTAATAATTAATAATTAGTAAATGGTAATTAATCTTATTGTATTAGTATATTTTTAAAAAAATAAATTTAAATATAATAAAAAAATAATGTTCGTTGACCACCGATTTCAATTCGATCAGCTGTTTCAATTTTTAATTCGGTAGCTAAATCGATCGCTCAATGATTTTTATTTTAGTATGGAATAGACACCGATTTAGCGACTAAAATTTTACGACGCAAACTATTTGTCGCTATTTCGGTTGTCAAATTAAAAAGTGAAACCAAATCATACTTTTGGTGGAAAAATCGATCACTAATTGCGACCGAATTAAATCGGTCACTAATAGCGACCGAAAAAATTTGGTCGCTAAAAGTATTTTTTATTGTAATGATTAGCGACCGATTTCAATTCGGTCGCTATTTCAATTTGTAATTCAGTCGCTAAATCAGTCGCTAAATAATTTTTTTTATTTTAGTATAGAATAGCCACCGATTTAGCGACCGAAATTTTGCAACACGTTTATTGGTCACTATTTCGGTCGCTATATAAAAATTTGAAACCAAATCATATTTCGGTGTCAAAATCAGTCGCTAATTACGACAAAATTAAATCGGTCGCTAATTGGCTAATTTTAGTCGCTAAAAGTGTTTTTTCTTGTAGTATTAGAGTGTTTCATCTCTTTGAGTGTTTTATCTTGAACCTTGGTTCAAGTGGCGGCAGCCACCACTTAGCTAGGGTGATTCATCCCCTAGTGGCGTGCCAATACTGCCCCACCACCATACTTCTTTTCTCTTCATCTTTTCTACTTTATTTCTTCACTCCATTTATTTATTCAAAGGGCTGGTCTATTTTTCTAGCCTTTGTCTTTATTCTTTTCTAGTTTCAGTCCATCTCATCCTGTCTCCACAATCCTTAGAAATGAATCTTCATATCTAGATAGAAAACTATCTTCATGTTCAATGAAAATTTTTCTTGTGTTTGCTTACTTTATTGCTTAAACTTTTGCACCTTATGTTCTTAAAATTTTGCACTTTACTTTATATTACATCAACTATGCATGGTGCATTATTTAAAAGGTCAACCAGGTCAGGTTGTGCTCTTAAAAAGGGAAAATGACTCAAATTGGGCAAGTTGTCCTCTCACGCGATGATCTCTCACAGGTTGGTTTATTTTTCTTGGCCAATCCCCAATCTCATGGAAAACCAAAAAGTAACACACAATTTCTCGATCTTCTACTAAAGTAGAATATTGATCTATGGTCAACACGACTTGTGAGTTGAAATGACTTCAAGGTGTTCTTTCAAGTCTCGGGCATTCCTATTTTAATGAACATTTAATAAAATATTTTCTATTCATGCTTCTATTTAATACTTTTTCTGTTTCTTTATAAATATCTAATAAGAAATTAATGATAAATTTTTTGACTTTATTAAATATTTATAATATTTTTTATTTTATTTTTTTCATTTATATACCATAATAAATAGTACATATATGTAAACTAATTAAATATTAGATGAAGGGTATAAATCATAAAAGAATAATTAATGTTATTTCAATATTTGAAAATATAACTAAATTGTAATAAAAATCTTTTAAAAATACGATAATTAAAAAATAGAGGAAATAAGTGTTAAAGGAAGGAAAATATTTTATAATAATT